TNAAATTAGTTACATATNNACAGTAGGTGGATTTATCCTTGATAATCATTCCTCCTTCAATAAATTTATCGTCATCAAGTATCTTGATATTATAAAAATTTGTAGCTATATGATGACATTATAGTTTTCTCTTACTTCTAGCTTGATCTAATCGTAAGATACCAGTAGAATTACTTAACAGGTCATCCATTAAAATTTTATATTTTTCTCTAGCTATCATTAAATTCGTTTTTAATTGGTTAGTAGCTTCATTCAATTGTTCTATTACATCAGCAATAGGATACTTCATAGTTTCCTCAGGATTACTCAAATGGTTCACGTTCTTTTGAGATTTCTTGATTAATATATATTGATTTGCTTGCTTATTTACATCGGAATGCACTACTCATGGTAGAATAAAATATTGAGGGTAGTTCATTAAAATCCACGCAAATGAGAATAAACGCACAACTACTGAAATTAACATCGCACAATATTCAAGTATGGCTTTCGGTTACCTTTCATTTGATTAGTTGATTGACAGTAGCGAGATGCCATCGCTGATCGTAATTGAGCGTATCTAGAAGATTTTTCCGGATCGTCTGAAACGGAAATTCTACTCAAATATTGGGTATTGTTTTCAATCTTTTCCAATAATAATTTGTTAATAGCTACTAAATCTTTCGTAATACTGATTTTGATAGAAAATTTGGTTAAAGATAACAGCAGCCAGGTTTATGCAACAGCGATCGAATCTGTTAATTGTGATTCTTTCCTATACCATTACGTAATGAGCACTTAGATAATGCAAGTAGATTCAATAAATTAATTTATGTAAAACATCAACAGTATTTAAGGATACGTGGATTCTTTCTGTGGCTTTTTGACCTCACTGAGATCATTAGTTGATGAATCTTTGAATTTCTCTTCAAGTACACTTTCCTATAACCAATTAAAAACAAGCAAATTAATCGTAGCAATCCTGTTTAAGGATTTTAGAGCGGTAATCTTACCATCCATTTCCAAAATAAATCTTTTTCCCCTATCCAACTTGCCAATGCAGATAGATAAGTTATCCTCTGATCGAGTAATCCCTGTAACTATAGAGATAGATCTCGAATTAGACAGACATACTACTATCGCAATATCATTAAAAACTGACTTTAAGACCAAAGGCATTACGCTAAAACTAGAGGAATTATAAATCAGGTAAACGAATAGATTTTTTTGAAATGTATCCTCCAAAATTAAAACTTATAACTTCCTAGAGGGTTACAACTTGTAAGGTCCTAACAATACAACTGATCGGTAACTTGTCACTATCAAACCTTTTGAAAATCCTTTGGATTTGCTAATAAATAGCACTCTAGACTGGATAAATGGCTACAATCAGGCAGCACAGCAGATTGAGTATCCCACGTACCAATGTGAAGCTATTGTAGAATTATGCTGTATTAGCTATGTTTTAAAGCAAACCTTCCTTATAAATCCAAATATTAGATTAGTGAATATTGCCAACGAAAATAGGAGATACTCTTAATAAATTACCTTATGCATGATACGAATTTGTTCTTTCTCACTACTTAGTAAGGTCTTTAATTTATGATTTAGCCTCCCATACTGCCAAAGCAGATTCTTTGCACGATCGATAATCTTGAAATGGATTATTTAAAGTTTTAAGCGTACAGTATGGAGCCATGATAGAAAATGCAATAGGAGTTGAATCTTTAAATAAACATTTATTTTACATTATCGCTGTCATTGTCGACTGATAGCGTTGGATATTCGACTCTTGAAGAATTTTTATCGGATGATTTCTCCTGTAAGCAGCCCTTCTATTAAGATTAATAGATCTCATTTTGAAACATAGCTTTAATCTATAATATCATATCTGTAACCTTGGATAAATACGTTGCTGTCCAAATTTTACAAATTATTTTTGAAGCTCCATTTACACTTATTTGTCATTTACACGCGTTAGGTATACCTCATCGATAACTCTAATAGACAAAATATCCTCAATATTATGGATGTAGCTCTCAATGATATTTCGTTTTGCCAGTAACCAAGAGAAGGCTAGTAGCAATTCTCTAATAGAGTATATGTAGGCATATGAGAATGTAACAGAGATAACAAAAATAAGATAATGCTTATATTTTAAGACAAGATCGACAATATTTCCCTACTGAACATAGTCACACTAGTATCAATGTAAATTTATTATTTACGTACCGACTCCCATAGCTCATATTATTTGGCAATTGATAGAAGCTTGCAACTCCATATCCAAAGCTATATAAGTAGTGCTTTACATATACAACAATCTGTTCTGAAATGGGTAAAAAGTGTTTACATTCAAAAAGGTTCAAAGTTACTATAAAAATTACAAATCATAGAAATATTTTAATGTTACGTCTAGAAAGTTATATTCTTTGTATTAGGGTATTCGAGTAGATTTGATGATACTGTTAAATCGAGTTTGTAACAACTCAAAACTAAATTTGTAAATAGTATCTAACATTGAGCAATAGAATATGGAACTACAGTAGACTAATTAGCTACATAGTTAATACTAGTCATGTTTATTAATACTCGTAATATCGTATTAAAATGTCGATTTTAGAAAACGATAATTAAAAAATTTAGAGTGTAGGCGAATACAGAAGTTGATGAAAAGTAGGTTATAATTGATTACATCTACAATTAGTAAGCAAGTGGATAAATTATAATTATCGGACGTTCTATGAGTTGTACGATTGTATTATATACCATCTGATAAATGAGCTTCTGGCATAACTTGCAGGTACTTGCTGTAACATATCGAATCAAATAGTAGAAGCCAGAATGTCCTTGTCTGAGAGGCGGCAAACACCGGTCATAGCTTATATTAATCAATTTACTGGAATCCTATTTATCAATAAAGTAAAAAAATCTTAAGAGCACTAACCTGCTCATGTCGGTCGAATTTTGCTTGTCTGAATGATTCAGCTTGGATAGCGCATTGACGATTAAAATTGAGTACGGTACACAATGATTCGATGGCATGTTTAATTTGAGCCATGATTACGGTCAACTACTTTATCCTTTTTGATATAAATGAAAGCTTTGCCAATATTAATTTTTCAGGACGTAACAATACCCCATAGAAATAAGTTTCGATAGCTAACGCCAAAGATTAAAACCAATTATGGCGACGAATGCAGCTTGATTTTTGTTTGCATCTTAAATAAATTCAGCAATCCGTTTTTAGATTGAGTTGTAGTCTGTAGATTTCGATTACATAAGGTATTGCTATTGATTTTACAGTAATTCATACATCACTTTATGCTATAATTTAGTCGTTATTAGCTCAGTCTAAGGATGCAACGTCGCAATTCTTTCTTTTCTAATAAGATGTGCAATGTAATATGTAATGTGCGAATAGTTTGCGTTGCAAATATAGTACTACAAAACATTGCATGGCTGCAACAGCTAGCTACCTTATTGTATTTATTTTTCTTGTATTTCCGTTGATTTTGCCAACTTTAGAGTCTAAAATGATCGCGAGGAAGTAACCACTTGTACAGAAAGTGCTGCAGAACGTGATAATCTTATTCAACTACCTAATATCTTCTTTGCTAGGTCAATAAATCGTTTACAGGATATCTACATAGGTTAATTTAGACCTCTTTCCGAGCGGAGGCTGCTTCGAGCAACGAATGGCCATAGCCGAGCTATGTGGATCCTCGGTAGTAACGGTAACCAACAAACACTACGCCTATAAGAGTGTGCTATATTGTGTATAATATAGGTCATATTGTACAGCATACAGTATAGCATACCGTCATGAATTGTAAAGGTTGCAGTTTGATAGCCAGTACGGTATCGAGGAAGCGATCCGTTCCCACTTGCTCATGGCTACTTGTATAGAAATCCGTAATGGACAAAGGGCATTTACTATGCAATTACACTCTAGTCTATGATAGTATACTATCTTTCAACGGATAGCAAGCTCATCAAGAACCACCTGCAATGCAGTATGGCGAGCTCGAGGTTTATTCGCTTATGTGTGCACAAAAATAGCCTTCTCACCAGCCATATTCCCATTTTAAGACCACTTTCCAAAAAGGCATATGCAGATAATTTAAATCTACCGCAAACGTTGTTTCCATTACGAGCTAATGCTGCTTTTCGCGATTTGGAAATACAAGAGGTGAGTCCAGGTGTTCAATTACCATTTCACCTTTAGACTGCTTTCATAGTTTGCTTATATCTGGTTTGCTTATGGACGATCATAGACGTAGTATGTACACTATTTACGAAGAACTGCAAGACTTTACACAGTATACATTCTACTATGGCTATGGATTAGATCTGATCATGTTTTAGGCTTTCTCCTGGATAACTGTTTCGCATCAGTTTTATGTTATTACAATAAGATGCTGTATTGCATGCTCTAGGCTTGCAATGGATGAATCCTCGTTAAATTGCATCATGCAAGCTATTGCTGTGATTGATTTTAAATTAACGATGATAAGTACTGATGTTTGCATTGATATCGATTTATTGTAATGCCATTTGCCTCTTGGTGCTGCAACGATGCTTTTAATGATATTAGGTGGACATAATAATAGCTAAAACACTTAGTAATAATTGAATCTTTGACATATGTAATATTGCTTGTAGTCTACCGGCTTTGATAGCTTATATGAATGGCAGCGACAACGAGAAACTCAGAAAGAATTCTCTCTTCATGATGGACCGCCTTACGCTAATGGAGACTTGCATATGGGACACTTACTCAATAAGGTATGAGATTAAGCTGTAATCGTGGAAATGCACTCGTAGCTACTCATGGTACAGTTTACATACTGTAGAACATCATGGACAACTATTGTCGCGTCGGGTACGATCTCCCAAGATACAGGATATAACATAGCGGAAATAGCATTCCTTTACGTGGCTAACCGCTCACTCAATATTATAAATTGTGCTAATTCCAACCATATCTTCAAGTCATTTAGTCATAATAAAGCACAAATTGAAATTGATGCGCTTTTCCTTCTGATAACTCGTAGCTTATTAACCTTGTTGCAATGGATCGTAATTCAAGGATCCAATAAATTCGCTTTTAGCGTAATATCGGAAATTTCTACATAGTATAAATGTTAGATGGCTTATACATTAATGATAGGTACTCAAGGATATTATTAACAGGCATAAAGTATTACAAGGCTATAAAGTACATTATAAACCAGGATGGGATTGTCATGGTCTCCCAATCGAACTAAAGGTATTTGGAGTCATTGGGTGGCTTACAAAACTTCATTACAGCTATCTATTACTTTACTGTAATGTTATGATTCAATTTTAAGATCATTTCAGGACGTAGTATTTGTAAGGAACGCTAAACAATATTCATATAAACGTATCAATATATAATTTATTTGCTAGGCATTGAAAGGAGATAACTATGATAATAACAAAATGCCCGCAATACAGATAAGAGAAACTGGTAAACAAATTATCGTTTAACTTATATTAATGACAAAATATTGGCAGCTTTTAAACTAGCTAATCTGCTCCTTAACGTAAATTATCTGATAAATACTCTCTTACATGTCATTTCGTAGCGAAAGCCTTTGCTGAAGCTACTATCGAGGAACAAATGAAATCTTTCAAACGATGGGGAGTGATGGCAAACTGGTTAGAAATTTATGTTTCTATATACGAGTATAATGGCGTATTATTACAAGCATTCGTAATGGTATGATATATAAACCCGTTGCTCTTTAGGAACGATGTATATAAAACAACTGATAAAGATTATGAAGCTAATCAACTACAGGTCTTTTACGAAATGTACAAAAAAGTAAGATATCAACTGCCTTGTAGCTAAATTCTCACATACTTAAGTTATATGCAGTTATTAAGCTATTAGTTTATTCTTGCTTTAATAGGGTTATATTTATAGAGGTTATAAACCTGTGTTTTGGTCTCCTTCATCCAAGTTAGTGAGATATTAAAGTTAACAATGTTTTAATATATGAACATTCTGACTAAAATGTTGAATTTGTTATTTCTTTTGGTATCGTAACTTTAGGACTGCCCTAGCTGAAGCTGAACTTGAATATAAGGATTATACTAGGTCAGTGTAAGACTCTTAACCAACACTTGGGAATTTTTTATTTTAGCTATGGATTATTATAAATTTGATAGCAAGTGCCTTAGGTTAGGCTTAACTTGTTGTAACGTTTTCAAGCGAGATAACAATTGCATTTATTCTTTTACAGTCGTGCGGTTTACGTAAAATTTCCTGTAAATACCCTTCCTGGTGGCGTTTTTGGAATTGATGGTAAAGCGTTTCTTAGTTATAAATAAAGCTTTTAGTGTGATCTAGCCAATATCTTTGCTATTAAGTTTTATATTCTCTGATGCCGGATATCGATATATGTCTACAGCAAACTTAACCTATGCCCTTGTATGGACAACAACTCCATGGACAATACCCTTCAATGAAGCTGTTTGTTACCATCCATCTCTCAAGTACAATATAGTTTATGTTTTCTGATACACCTACTAACTTGCTTACAAGCAAAGTACCAACTAGATTATTTACAAATGGACTGCCATCCATCTATTTAGATATTGCTTTGCAGAAAATCCAAAAACTGCTGAAGTTTACTGTGTCTGTACTGACTTATTACCAAAAGTTGAAGATATTTTAAATACGAAGCTTACGGTTCAATTAGAATTAACTGGTATGCTTCAATGTAAAAGTATTTCGCAAATATGTTATTCGATCAGAAATGAAATAATGTCTGTGAATTGTGCATTACGTAGTCGATTTGATAACAGCGGTTTTTGTCAAATATAGGCCAGGAATTAGATGGTATGGTTTGTGGTCATCCATTATATAGAGATAAAATATCACCATTACTACCTGGAATTCACGTTACGAAGGAATCTGGAACAGGTCTTGTTCATACAGCTCCAGCACATGGTATTGATGATTACAACATCAGCCGAATATACGAGCTTTCACTGGTACTAATCTAATGCGGATAACCTTCAAAGAAGATATAATTTTGTACGTCGATAACGCAAAATATTTATGATTTCTATCTGCATTAGGATTGTGCGGTTGATAAAGATGGCTTATATACAGAAGATGCTGGTTCAGAATTGGAAGGAAAATATGTTTTGGGTGATGGTAACAATGCCGGTAAACCACTTGCAAATTGTATTTAGCATAAACTATTAAGGCATCAAAGTCATCATTATAAATTAAACAGATGCCCCAAAATTAATATAGCTATCTTTTACCTTAACTTATGAATTAGCCCTTGAATTATTGCGCGATAGTGGCAATTTACTTCATGAAAGTGACTATGTTCATCGATATCCTCATGACTGGCGGACGAAAAAACCAGTTATTTTACGTGCAACGAAGCAATGGTTTACAATGACTAGCGGTCTCATGCAACAAGCTAAGGTAGGACAATAAGTTATACATACGAGTATATTGAATAACAACAGATCACTAAGTACGATAAACGGCATACCGCAGACTTGTCCGATTGCGTTTCAAACTGAAATACTGTTCTGATAATCAATTCATTGCGTCCACTAGGCAAATATATTCAGTCTTAAGATGTATCCTGAGCCGTCCCGAAACCGATTTTTATCCATGATAGAGAATCACGATTGGTGTATATCTCGTCAGCGCTATTGGGGAGTACCAATTCCAGTATTTTATCATAAATTGACGGATGAGCCATTAATTGATGAGTAATTGAGCAAAATTTCTTGCCCTGTCAGTTCTATTGCAAGAAGTTTATATAAATTTTTTTCTATTTCTAGTGATAGCATAGCCCATATAACCAAACTGGTCAGAGAGTATGGTAGTAACTGTTGGTGGAATTTGCCTATGGAAAAGCTGTTTCCCATTGAACTTGCAATGAAAGTACTCATGCAAAAAGATTTTCCCTATTAAATGATGCTCAAGTTATAGAAAGTACAATAAGTAATTGCTTGCGTGTTTTAATTACAGCATTATACTTCTCCTGCGAAATTTCGCCGTGGTGAAGACACAATGGATGTCTGGTTTGATAGTGGTACCTCTTGGGCAACTGTTATGAAAGGTTAATAAATTGAAAAGTAATTTTGTATTATTAATGCTAGTATGAAATTAAGTGTACAATTACGTATTAGACCAGGATGGGGTAGCCGATCTTTATGTTGAGGGCACGGATCAACATCGCGGCTGGTTTCATTCCTCTCTCATAACTAGTACAGTTACACAATCGAAAGCTCCATACAAGTAAGTTTCAAAGATAATGTAAAGACAGCAATAGAACGAGAGCATCTATGATACCTTTTATTTATCATGGATTTTATAAGGGGTATATTGACTCATGGCTTCGTCATGGATGAGAATAACAGAAAAATGTCGAAATCATTAGGAAATATTGTTTATCCAGATGAAGCTATCACTGGCACTAAGGTCTGGAAATAATTCTGCAGCTCGTAAATTGCAATGCTATTTCCAGTATGCATTACAATCAACAATGATTGATACCTTTCTAAAAATTTTGTTATGCGACCAGAAAAAGGTCGGCTTAGGAGCTGATGTTCTAAGATTGTGGGTTGCAGCTTCAGGCTACGCGGCTGATTTATCATGTAGTAATAGTATATTAGAACGATTTGGAGAATCACTACGAAAGGTAAGGATTCTTAAAATTTGTGCGTTCCCTGTAAAATACAAAGATTTTAAATTAAACTGAATAAACTGTTCATACATGATAGGTGCGAAACTCAGCTAGATTCCTTTTAGGCAATCTTTACGATTTTAACATAGCTTCTAATGAAGTGGAGCATAACCAGATGTTAGAAATCGATCAGTACGTGTTGCATCGGACATTGAAATTCTATGAAGATGTAAGATTCGCTTAGTGCATTTCGATCTTTTTCTCAGTGTCTCGTCGCTGTTTTATTTCCGACATTCGCCCAATACAGTACTAGTCCTGTAATCCTCGTAATGCATTCCTTTCAGACCATTTCCTCGTACGACAACATGCAATTTGCGCCTGCTACCAGGCACATCATGAACTTTGTAAATACAGACCTAGCAACTTATTTTGAAGCAATCAAAGATCGGTAAACGATTGCCAGTAAATGGAACTCAATCCGTCTCCAATTGTACTAACATCTATTCACTTCATTTAGGTTATATGCAGAAAGTTCGAATGGTATCCTTCGTAGGTCTGCTCAGACCAGTTTATTTCATATTCTTGATGTCCTAACTCGGGCAATAGGACCAGTTACGCCTCATTTAGCGGAAGAAATTTGTACTTTTGCACCGAGTAAGTTTTACTATAAACCCACGAAAATTATTACATTCTATGTAGTTCGTTACTGCTCCACAGTCTGCAACTTAGCACCCAAGTATAGTTACTTTACATTTATGTAGTTGGACTACATTGGTTATTATCATGATTTAAACGCGTTCTCACGTAAAGAAAGGCATCATGCTTACGTTGGCAGCGATTTTTAGTAAGCGCTATTATTACGATATTTTTAGGTGGATTTGTCTCGAGTGTTTTCAGAAGTCAACCTTACCAAATTTGCGATCAGTGGAGAAATGATGATTTAGCCAGCAGATGGTCATTTTATTTAGAAATTCGAGATATCGTTAAAAAAGGTTTATACCGTGCAAATATAACCTCCCGCGAAGGTCACGTATTAGTTAAATCATCCGAACAAGTTATCAATATACTAGAGGTACGTTTAGCAATACCTCATTTAATGGCCAATTTTAGCAAAATTGGAGCTGTCGATGTAATTTAACGACATCAATGTGGATAACATTTATCGCAGGCATGTAATAAATCGGCAAGCGAAGTTGGAAATCACTACTCCCCTTTGAATGAATTGTTTGCAACATCAGAAACAACATTGGAAAGAGCAGTTCAATCCGAGGTTTCGGAAAGTCATGAAGAAGCCATAAAAGATGGCTACTTGATTGATTCAGGTCCGTTAAAGGATTTCTTTCACACCATTCTACTTTATTATCATACAGTAATTAATAAACTTTTTGATCTACATATTCACTCTAGTTCTAACTGTTATCATTCAATTTAGCCATTAACAACAACAATTTAAATCTACAAAAAGAAACGATCCAAGTGCAAGTACATAAAGCCACTGGAATAAAGTGTGCAAGATGTTGGAAACTAACATCGACGCAAGCTGGCACACTGTGCGATCGATGTCTGTTAGTAATGTCAGACCAGTATAAGTAATAGATATTTTCAATTAAGTTATTTCTGAAGGCTAAATTTTTATTTGCAAATAAAAAAGATTTTAACAGGTCCATCCATGGTGCATTATTGTACATAGTGTACGTTTGTTAACGGAACCGTAAACAGGCACTTTTGAAATATAATAAAAGCTGTTGCAGTTCTTTCCATTACTGCCACTGCATACCAGAATATGAAATGGGAGCCCGTGGCAGTCATACTCTGCTGCATACCTCATTTTTTTCGTGCAGTCTCTGACTGCTCATTACCACGCAGAAACCATAATGTCCAGCTCTTTGATGGTTATGCACTAAATACTGCTTGTTATAAATTTCGACATAAGAAATACTAAACCACCTTGTTTCGATGGCAAAATAATAAAACCTAAGGCGATCGTTTTTGCGCTTGTACAATGTACAGTAGTCTGTCGCCTAGCAAAGGTTAAACTAAGGATACTTTACAAATTTAATCATTGCATAGCACTATTTAGCACTTTGCTACATCGCATTATGGAATTTTACACCGTGAATGAACTGTAAATTTCAGTATTGCTACACTGAATGCATGCAAAATCCCTGTCAATTGATCACCTTCCAACCGTTACACATTATCAATTTTTCAAACGTAAAACAAAGCTGATACTGCAAAAATATTATAAAACCTCATCAGTTACTATTCCAATCGGATCGAAGGGGATCGCCGAGTATCGATCTATTCCAATGGGAAAGTCTTTAGTCCTGACATTATAGACAGGTACTACTAAAGAGAAAACGTTATAGACATACAAACAAATTCAACTCAGTGGCATAAATCGAGCGTTTATCGAAAGACGCATATTTTTTAAATTTACACATGGCAGTAGTAATTTTATTCCATTACTTGTCCGGAAGAAATTTTTGACTTGTTCTATCCAGTATTAACCATTATGCAGCATGTTGATTGCAAACTAGGCACTCCTCTAGAACAGAAACAGTTCACGATTAATAGTCAATCATTAATCCATGCTAAATACTTGGGTGCAAAGAATTAACAACACAACCACAGAAGCATACAAACTTACTAAATGAAAAAGATCTTGGCCCATTCGTCCTTGTAGTCAATCCCTGGATTGACATTGCTACTGCATGAAAGAGTAGCAACTACAATTCAGCAAAGTTACAGCTAATAATTTGGTTTGTTGGAAGACATCATTGCTGCTCAACTTTGTAGACTCCAAAAGCTAAGCCAAACGCAATGCCTCCAGTTATTATCTCGCAACGTGCTGAACGGCTCGCAACCTTCCAGCTAATCAGCAATCATAGTCGGAGCGAACTCCTTAACAAGAACGTGTAAGTCGATCAGAAGATTGCTTACGGAACTTGTTGTACGCTGATTAGCCTCGTATAACTTGAAATCGATCGACCAAGCGCTTGCAAAACCGCTTCAAGCCAGCACATCGACGACGGTCTTTCCTCACTAGTTTTATGTATTTAATGTGACAAAAACTAGCTTAAAAAAACACAAACCAGAATTGGCTAACCCTGCTAATGTTAGGGTTAGGAGCTGCCAGAGCAACTCTGCATCCTGATGATAAGTTTGCAAGTTCCACCGGCAGCAGTGGAAGACCAACTTGGTCGTCGTCGTCGTCACCCTATTTAAAGGATCCAGTCGACCAATTGTTTTCTTCCGAAGAGGACATGTGACTATTTTGCTCGTTGAACGATTTATCCGTCGGCAGCTCTATAGATCGCTATGGGCTCTTTAAGTATGGCATGGGATAGTCTACTGTACCTTGTTACTCAAGACTATGGTGAAAGTGTTGATATATTCTGTACTTTCAACAAGGCTATTTTTGCTTTTGATCGCTTTATAACACCCTGAAATTGAATTGAGTAGTGTACTGTGGTGCAGAGTACAGTACGAAAGACAGGATGTCAATATACTGTATAAGTACTATATTGTACGTGCAGAATTTGTCATTCTATCATTGCAAATCCCCAACACCTCGGTTGGTTAGCAAACCGATTAATCGTAATGATGCACGACGACTGCAGGAGCATCAAAGGCAAATCAATATTGGTAAACACTTTGGTAGAATAGTACAACAACACCTTAGTCTATCATACTGTAATAGAAGTCTAAAAGCATTGTGAGCTGCAGTCATTTCCTAAGAAACCTAAAGATACTGCTTTGATCCGCTTCAGCTGTGCAGTGAGCAATGATGGTGTACTAGCGTTATCGAATCTTTCAAAGCACGAATGCGCTGATTAGACTTCAGTCAACATCCGCACTGTGCAACGCATAGCAGGCATCTAAAATGCATATTACTGTATTCAGTGAAGATGGCCGTGTCTACTGGCCTGCAGGAGGAAAATGGTTAACCCATTGCTTTCTTGATTCATTCTATCTGTTGGCATCGACTGTGATAGAAACTGATGTCACCTGTAGCAATTGAATTGTTACTATACCCACTGCATTCAAGTGATGTCGATAAAGTCAAGAAAGCAGATTGACTCAGTACAGGATAAAATTTCCTCATGCTAGGACAAACAGAGGGGACATTATTTTTGCACAGAAGCATCCAGTCTGAAGAAGAGCTCTTCTCAGATGCAGTGTATGAGTCACTACCGTCTCGGAATACAGCCCACTACACTACAGTACAGTATGGAACAGTAAATGCTTTTGTAATACAGTATACTGTACTACTAAACCATTGTACTATACTGTGGCGTACGTTTGTACCAGACTGACGCGTGTTGAACGTTACAGTTACAGTACTGTACAGTGTACAGTGTACATAATACTGTACTACTCGAATCACTCTTGGACGGACAGACACGTTTGCATCTCGTTAAAATATTGTGCCAAACACCTCATCATGACATTACTTTAGTATGAGGACAATCGATTTTCAATTGACTGATTTTTTTCTAAATGAAGTAATATTGCATTGAATTTTATTATCTATTACTAATCTCAGCTTGGAAACAGTTATATAAGATCGCAGATGTTATTTAAATTAGTACCAGTGATTTCGAAAATAGACACGAAAGCTCCATACTAAGCAACCACTTTTCGATATTGACAGCATCATTTGGTCAGAAAGTCCGTCTGTCTGAGGGGGTGATCAATCCAGTCCGGGTCTCCTTCTAGTTCTGTGCATACAGTACTTAGTGTACAGTACTACAGTATATTGTACACTTCCGTGTACAGTACTGTACTGTACTGTACAGTAGGATACCGTACAGTACAGTACAGTATGCTGTACTGTACAGTAGGATACCGTACAGTGTACAGTACTGTACTGTACGGTTAGTCCCTAGATTGTACTGTGGTAAAGCAGCGTTTTTTTTTAAGCACTCTACTACTATACAGTCTGGAGATTCCTCATGGCGGTAAGTCATTTGCAAGCCGTTTCCTTTTGCTTTTAATTGATGTATTTACCGTATGATATATATAAATCGTTCTTAAATTGTCTAAATGTAAAATAATTGTAATCGAAATGGTAAAATAGTTCAAAAATGGAATGCTCATACGCGTTCAAGGTTTGCAAATTTCGATTCAGCACGCGCGTCCTTGTCCAGCGTTTCTTGTGCAATTTGTTATGCTATTTTGTACCATAGCCTAAGTAGTGTATAAGCACTACACCGATCGTACACAGTAAGCATGATTTCGATGCTTTGAATTGAGAACATTTCGTCGGCTTTCTCCAATAATGAGGCTCTATGACATTGCAACGGAGATAAAAACCTCTTTAAATTTACCTAAAATGATTCTAGAGTCTTGATAGATGCTGCACTATGATTTAAATAGATTATTTTATTGTTGCTGTATAAACTGTAGATCAGTGTTGAAGGTATAGTTCTGCTATGCAATGGCCATAATTTGCAATGTCAGTTAATTCAATCTCTACAATATTATACTCTTGTAGTGAAGAGGCTTTCGAATCTAATAACATGCAGTACACTAAAAGCGGTCATACATTTTATTAGTGTCATCATTGGATGCTTAGAATTTGAGTCATCAGTCAGCTTGCTAGATGACAGGTTATGCTTTGATAAAGAGTAAGAAAAGTATTGATTGACGAACTTGATGCAAGGTTATTTTCTGAATGATTGTAGACCGTTCCTATTAATCCTAAACCCTTCTTAAATGGTCTTACTGGCAAGCCAGTACTAGTCAAATTGAAATGGGGTATGGATTATAAAGGCTTCCTGGTTTCTGTAGATAATTACATGAATTTACAGGTATTTGGTGAACTTAAATTTTCTTAGAACATAAGTTAAGGTTATACGTAGAAATGTAAATTGAATTGGATGATTAGTAAATTAATCTATATTTACGCGATATGCTTAGTTGGCAAATACAGAAGAGTATGTGGAAGGAGCACTTACAGGCAACTTGGGCGAGGTTTTGATCAGGTTTGTGTTATTACGCCGATATATAGAGTTATCATACGGTTCAACTGGATAACCTTGGATTTTTTGTCTTAATATTGTATTTGCATCTATTTTCTAGATGTAATAATGTTTTATATGTGCGTGAAATCGACGAAGAAGATGGAGAAGCTTAAATAACCCAGACATCCTTTTATATTAAGGCTAAGTTTAGTAAAGTTCAATTTTAGTCATTGGAAATCATTCTGTATCACGCCTAAGTTATAAATATGGAATTACCTGTACAATCTTTATACACCGATTTAAAAAGCTGTAGAAAAATGCTTTTATAGTTCTCCTTTCTTATTAAATTATTACGAATTAATGGCAAAATTGATGCATGTTTGCTCATGTGAATGTTACCTATACCCAAGCCATTTGATATCTCTACTGTATTACTAGATGAATAAAATGTTGTATATTCAAGAATTTAGCGGTTCTTTCCTGAATAGATTTGCTGGTAAAGGTTGATCACCAGCTACTCCATGTCATGCTAATTTTAATAAACGGAAATTACCAAGATACTTAATCCCAGTGATTGATCACCTTACTAAATTGCTAGCTTTCCCTAACTGTTGCATAATACTCACGTGGCTAAATACTTTGGCGAGTTAATCGGCTGTTGAACAAATTACACAAAACACACATGCTTAAGAATTACTAGACCTCGACGTGGTGTTCGCCTGATGCCGAAATTTTAATTTCCTTAACAGCATTAATTACACGCAATCAACTTTAAAAAATGAATACATACATTCAAATACTGTAGGATAATTTTAAAAATGTTAAAATTCTTCATAACTTTACTTTTAGTCACTTTGCGTCCGTAAGGTTAATGCTTAATATCTCATAGCAGTAGTTATCGTCGTTATCTGGATCGCATCTACTTGGAGATATTTCATCAATCTGAAAACTGTGGAAATGTAAAATTAGCACTAGTATTACGCTTTGATCATCCTACTCTCAGCAATGAGTATAGAAACATTAAGCAAAATGTAGCCTTTCATGATGATTCCGAATAAAGCATTTACTCAATTTCAAGCTGCTAAACGTAATATCATATCTTACCCCACAACGTTGGTAAAAAAATGATATGCTCTCTCATTATCTATATTTCAACAGTAGAATTGATGTTGTACTAAATTAATAATACCGTTTTGCAGTAACTTCATGATGGACATCTTCAAACTTATAACGCTAAGTTCAGCATTATACTGTACTTACGTTTGAATACGGTTAGCATTACTTTATCCATTTTTGATCTATACATTGTAGAAATAGAAAAATTTACATTAATAATAAATGTTTTAGCTATTCAAGCATTCTTGTAAAAGCAACTATGTTATTACTAACGTCCCTGGTAATTACTTTTAAATGAATTCACATTGCAATTATAGCGTTCCTCATACCTAGTTCCCAATAATTTCAGAATATTCATTAAATATTTTCCTAACCCTTTGCCTCTAATACTTTGCGAAAGCTGAATTTCATAGCTAATTGACAATGCAAATTTTTAAAAATGTAGTCTTAATACAGGTACAAGTAAGTAGTGCCCAACAGCAATCTACATATATATATACATTATAGTTTTCAAAATATTGACTACTACATACCAATAAACGACAGCATCTCCTTCTTCTATATCAAATCTAAAGCTAACCATTCCTATTGGAATATTTTGATCATTACGGGCGATGAGATACCTGCAAGGTGAAAGTAGCGACTGTCTACAATATTTCTCTTGCAAGGTATCTTATATGGATGGCTACTTTTACAAGCATAAAACGTACTAATCGCTACAATGAGACCATTACTAAACGAGTACATATTTATTATTGTTTATTACCCACCATCCTTTCTTGTCAAACATTTCTTCCTTTTTTTCTTTATCATCCCAGCCCCATTCACTGGTAATATACCTAATTTTTGATGTTAAACATATCATATATCCGCAATAAATAGACGAAAGATGAATAAAAGTCTGCATGATTGCGAGAATTATACCATAGAAGAATTAAGCTATCTACGACTCCTTTTATCATTGCAGTTAACAGTATCCTTTACAATATTTTAACAATTAAGTATAAATATAAGTGTATGCATAAACAATTCATGATAATCAAATTATATCACAAATTTATGTCACTCTTTGAGAGTGAAAACTACAAATTTGTATACCTACATGGATTGCATATTTTGCTTTGTTAAGTTAAAGGCCCATTCAAGATCATGACTGTCTATAACAGGTACTTTCTTGCATTCAATAGACGCTTGAAATCTAAAGTTTGAAAGATGCAATTTATTCAGATATACCATGAGTCCAACCATTCTCACAATTACGTATAAGTTAGCAGGATGTATACGCTTATCGATCTCTAATTTAGGCGGATTATTTTTGGATTGAGCATTTATTTCCTAAACTTGTAGTAGTATGTATAATAACTGTAATATTAATATCTTATTACCCATTATTCAAGAAAGACTTTACTTCGGGGAATGCATTCAACTGATCTACAATCTCCATTTCAATATGGATAAGAACAAAATTGTTATCTTTTCACCCTTGATTCAAGTTATAATTTTGAAAAGATGACTGACACCACAAAAATATTTTGTGAAAAGCTGGCAACTTGAGTGTCTTTTATCAATTAACTACCGAAAGCAGAGACAGATTACAAAGATCAACAGTTTCGATTCCGTCGCCTAGGCACTTAATCTAGTTTGTACTTCCGCCTATCATCGCATCAAATGATAACTAATGCAAGCAGTCATTGATATTTGCATTTCTATCCCATACCGAATTGGCTTTGTCGACCAGTTTCTGCTTTGCTCGCAATTTTATCTTTCGAATCATGATTTTGGTTGTTATTATTTTTGTGCTAGCGCATTACGTCAATATCGTAGAGCTAAGCCTAAATGGAAATAATTAAAAATATAATGAGCTATGCATTTCGGTCTTATGCTTTTTTATTCTAGACTGATTGGTTACCTTAGCTACAGCGATTCATTTAGTTGTTTGTGCATGCAGTCACTTCTTTCGAAAGCAACATGAATGCAAAAACTCCAACTCTGGAGGAAATTAAACTATGAAATGGAGACGATTGTGCACCGCTATTCTACCTTAGTTTAGTCATTACTTATAGCACTGTACTTATAAAGTTACGCGATAAATTACTTACTCTGATTCTTACGTTGCTGCAAGCTTAATCTGCAGAGTACAACTAGCTGCTTTCAAGAGCTCCCATCCGGTACAGTGTCCACCTTACAATTCAGTAATGCATACAGTACAGTATAATATGATGTAGTGTAATAGGGTACAATACTGGCACTCTCCAATCTACGTCGTATCCGTTCCCATCGTTTACTTCATTAATAATTAATAGAAATTAATGATAGGACACCCTTGAAACCCTGATTAGAGAAGGGTCTCTAGGACACACGAGTGTAGCTTATAATATTGGACTCGTTGATTAATAGATTTAATCAATATTGACTTATAGAATTGCTTGCAGATGAAGACTTGAGATATTTTACTTATCCTATAGACATGCTGTAGACTCTGGGTACATTACATCACCAATAGTAGGCAAGGACTTTGCGATATTTTTTTGATTTACCTTGAAATTAAAATTATCGAGCTCAGTCGATAGACACAGAGTCATGCCATCGACACTTGGACAGAGTTGGTATTTTGTGCAAAAAATCGCTATGTTCAATGTAATATCGCTGCGAGTTTGCAGTTTCCAGATGAAGACTTGAGATATTTTACTTTAGGATACAGAGAACTAACTATAACTTGTCCAGGGGTATACAGTACAGAATAGTACTGTAGTATTTACTGTATACCTAGAATATCGTATTAGTAATACATAAGCTGTGGTATATGGACGCGTAGATTACTGTACATCACAAATAGTAGAGCCGGGGACTTTGCGATATTTTTGATTTACCTTGAATTAAAAATCAAGCTCAGTCGATGGACACAGAGTCATGCCATCGACACTTGGACAGAGTTGGTATTTTGTGCAAAAAATCGCTATGTTCAATGTAATATCGCTGCGAGATGGCAGTTTCCAGATGAAGACTTGAGATATTTTACTTTAGGATACAGAGAACTAACTTTAACTTTTCCAGGCGTATACAGTACTGTAGTATTTACTGCATACCTAGAATATCGTATTAGTAGTGCATAAGCTGTGGTATATGGACGCGTAGATTACATCACAAATAGTAGAGCCAGGGACTTTGCGATATTTTTGATTTACCTTGAATTAAAATCAAGCTCAGTCGATGGACAGAGTCATGCCATCGACACTTGGACAGAGTACGTATTTTGTGCAATAAATAAAAATTGCTATGTTCAATTGGATATCGCTGCGAATTTGCAGCTGTGCTGCAGTCTCACTGATCTTACTTTCTCATTATAAAACAGTATCCTACCTGCACTCCTGCAGTATTCAACTAACCCATAATTGTAATTATAATCCTGCACTTCTTACAGTATTTAACGCAGTAGAAAAGTAGCTATCATCGACTATACTACACAGTACAGTATATATATTTAAGAAGAGGTAGTTACGACTCGTCGTCATACGGTCAATGTCAATAGTATAAATTATATATAATTAAAATTGTTTATTCTAAAACAAGAAACAAACATGTACGCCCATATGCGTATATTTCTTGAGGTACGGTTCTGAGAGCATTACATTGAGAGCACGAGTACATCATCTTACACTTCTGCAATGTTTCAGCCAGTTTCAAAGAGGGTTATAAATATGTCATTTTTTAATGGGCTATCGATAGTCGTTACTTTTGTCGCTGTACAGTATAGGGAATCATCATAATAAACTATGACAATAAGAAGTCTTCAAGACACGCTTATTCGACTATTGAATTTATTTATTTACTCAAGTAGCCGAACCCGCACGTTCGAGCTGAGATTTTGTTATTTTGCTCGACTGCTGCCAACTTATTTATAGTTGATATAAGCTTATAACAATATTGCACAATCTCAACATGGCATGCCCCCATGTTCAGGGGCATGCCTCCGCCTCTGTGCTCTTTCTCAGCGCGGAGCCGCGTGCCCACAACGCCTTCAAGCCTGCAGTAAACACACAGCAATGATCATTGTACCGTAAAAGTAGCGTTTGTCTACTCTACCCAGTTTCCAGTCATCTCGCGATTCTTTCCATTATAAATGAATCAATCATAAGCACTTTGTAATTTCAATTCGATTCTACTGCTACAAATCTCATCATACAGTCCATTAATTTTGGAAACTACGTCCTTCATTCCGATGCTATGGTACTGTAGCAGTGCCCTTCCAAAATAGGAGTACAGTGCAGTACTATTCAACTCGTTGATGATGGCATATTTTGGTCGATCAATTTTTCTGCAATGATCCCTTGATCTGGGCACATTAAAATTGATCCTTTCAGGGACATTTGTACGTCCATAAACACCGTCAATCATTCAATATTGTTACTTTTAGAGTCAGGCAAAGACAGTAATGACAAATGGATATCCAATTCTTCACCGTCTATGCCCCAAAAATGATAATTTAGACAAGGTTTTCTTTCCCGCCATTGCAGTATAGTCTTAAAAATCGATAACTATGTCGCTAGCCGTTCAAGATTGAAAATTTATTCGTTTAAGAGTCAAGCAAGCACAGAAATAACGAATCCATATCCAATTCTTGCAATTCAGCGATGTTGCAATAGGATGTCTTTGGCCATCATTTTTTTCCCGCCATGACAGTCTTAAAAATGCATGACTATACTAGGCCAGTGAAATTGGTGTTGAACTAATCCTGGCATAGAGATCCCTTTACACTATGCGATGAATGACGCAGTAGTGTACTCTGCATCCGTTGATTCATGCCGGCCGGTGTTCCCTACAGTGCCATGGACTTCTAGAAATTCCTAGTACAGTACAGTATTAAAACGAGTCATGAATTTCTTCTAGTCGTTTCCATGTAGTTTCTAGTCGTAGTCTACAGTGTGGACGGCAGCCCATTCCATTCATACTAGTTTAGTACGTACTGCACTGAGTTGATTGTCCTGGGGTACGTACTACACTGAGCTGACTGTACAGTACAGTGCACTGAGTTGACTGGACTGGAATACGTACTACACTGAGCTGACTGGACTGTACACTGCACTGAGTTGATTGTCCTGCAGTACGTACTACTGTACACTGAGTTGACTGGACTGCAGTATGTACTGCACAGTACGTACTACACAGAGCTGACTGGACTGCAGTACGTACTGCACTGAGTTGACTGGACTGCAGTATGTACAGTACTGCACTGAGTTGACTGGACTGCAGTATGTACTGCACTGAGTTAACTGGACTGCAGTACGTACTACACTGAGCTGACTGGACTGCAGTACGTACTGCACTGAGTTGAATGGACTGCAGTACGTACTACACTGAGCTGACTGGACTGCAGTACGTACTACACTGAGCTGACTGGACTGCAGTACGTACTGCACTGAGTTGAATGGACTGCAGTACGTACTACACTGAGCTGACTGGACTGCAGTACGTACTACACTGAGCTGACTGGACTGCAGTACTACACTGAGCTGACTGGACTGCAGTACGTACTGCACTGAGTTGACTGGACTGCAGTATGTACTGCACTGAGTTGACTGGACTGCAGTATGTACTGCACTGAGTTGACTGGACTGCAGTACGTACTACACTGAGCTGACTGGACTGCAGTACGTACTGCACTGAGTTGACTGGACTGGAATACGTACTACACTGAGCTGACTGGACTGCAGTACGTACTACACTGAGCTGACTGGACTGCAGTACGTACTGCACTGAGTTAACTGGACTGCAGTACGTACTACACTGAGCTGACTGGACTGCAGTACGTACTGCACTGAGTTGAATGGACTGCAGTACGTACTACACTGAGCTGACTGGACTGCAGTACGTACTACACTGAGCTGACTGGACTGCAGTACGTACTGCACTGAGCTGACTGGACTGCAGTACGTACTGCACTGAGTTGAATGGACTGCAGCACGTACTACGGCTGACGACAGAAAGGAATTTTCCGCTTTTCCGCCATCCACGCCTCCCTTAGCAAACAAAACAAATCGAGTTAATACAATACCTAGTCGGTCGAAGGTCTGTACGATACAGAATTGCTTTCATTGGCAAAGGAAAGTGGCGCCGGAATTGAGCAAGCCAGCGGTGAGATAGGAAGGAAAAGCCATTGCAAAAGACGATTTGACCAGTTGTTATTCAATCATTATTGACATAGAACGCATTGCCTAGACTACAAGGTATCCTTGACAATCGATAAAGCCTAGTTGAAAGTGTATCATCAGTACAACCACTGGTAGAGAAGGAAAGACTGATTGGATTAGGTATGCTAAGCGCTGCAAGTAACATGTCGTCGTCCAACAACCAACCGAATTTTGCTCCATTTCGCGATGAAAAGAATAATTCACTAGTCGTGATATTGGGTGCCCAATGGGGTGATGAAGGCAAAGGGAAAATTGTCGATCTTTTAGCTTCTCAAGCTGATATAGTATGCCGTTGTCAGGTAAGTCACGTTATTTTCAGCCACTCTTTCGTCCTTCTTGGACATCACATTGACTACGCTCGACGAATTAAGAAGAGTATGATAGACATGGCCGTAATCGACACATGGTCTATTCACTTGTTGACTCAACAAACTGCAATAAAATGAATAATTATACATTAACATAGGTTACCCTTTTGCATACTTTAATATATAAGTTGTGTGTTTTACTATCGTATATTGTGCCTACCATGTATAAAACAAATTAAGCCACAAGAGTCCAACGAAAAACCAATGACTGACGGTCGTCAGTAGTGCGACGTGGAAAATGATTAAATTGAATCTATTCAGAAATTGGATTGATTTCGCTTGATAACATCTGGCTATCCAATTCAGCTTGTAGCTTATTCCTAGTCATCAATTCAATTATAGTATTATGGATGTAGTGATTGATTGCGATGGTTTCAATACTAATTAATGATCGATCGTTTATAGTAGACACTGCTACCATGAGCTATGGTAGATGGTCAATCTGATAGTCTATAGCAATAGAAATACAATACCATCGATCCTCTAGCCTGCAAACAACTACTGTACTTTCAATGATGAAGCAAAATTAGACTATTTCATCTGTATCCTAAATATCTTCACACCGGATACAGTATGCCTAGCATAGGAAATATAATCCCAAATACTGGTGTTCTTCTACTCCAGTCAAGCACCAATAAAGAAATCTATCAATTTCTTGAATCGATTTGACACAATCATTCAATCGAACCAGTATGACATAACTTGACTGTAAATGCATCATAAATGATTATTGACATATTGGATTAAGAACCGTTAAAGTTGCCCTACAAAATTGATCGTATTGCTAAGAGAAACAGCTGCTGTCGTAGTATTTTTTTTATCGTTCCTAAGCCATAGTCACTGATCTTTGTCACTAATCTATCCAATATGTCTGGTATACTGTAAATTCAGCTCTGGCATAAATAACATGTGTCAGTCAATCAGTAACGGCATTGAATAGGTGCCAAATCGAAATCACGATTAATGAATTAATTAAACCAGACACCGATGGTGCATGATCGTACTGTGCTCGCTCTTAGAACACGCTATGAGCGCTAATGAATTAGATTGAAATACAGTAGAAGGAAGAATGGACTGTACCATGAAAGTATAGTACGATGTCAAGCTTATGAATAGATTTATGAAACGATCGATTCCATACTACTATAGACATGACTTTTTGTAGTAATGTATCTGTATGGAGTGCTTTTAAAGCATAATTCCTCCCATGTTGCGATTTCATGGCTACATTGTCGGTAGGAATACTCATAATGCTTGCGTACACAGTCATGCAAAATGCTTCGAGGTAGTTCTCGTAGACATGATTAGATTGGCATATCTGTACACCTTTATTGTACCCGTATGTACAATTGGCAGATGGCGGCTATACAGTATTGTATTTACAACACTGACGAATTTTATCTAATAGGGTGCTATATTGCGTTATAATGCTAAAACCATATTGAAAGTTGTTGTTTATTAAATATCCATCAATGAATTCTGTAATCTCAAATGCTATGACTAGTTGTATCTATTCTTTTCTAAATCAATTATTACTTCTATATAGGGGGGCAACAACGCTGGACATACAGTAGTCGCCAATGGAAAGACTTACCATTTCCATCTTTTACCTAGGTAACATAGTATCCTGATTTCTTTTGTGTTGTTTGTAATCATTTATGATTATGAAATATTCATGGATGTACTGTGCTCAATTTTCTTCCAATACCTCAACCACTCGACAATACTCAACACTGCACGATAACATACAGTACTTCTGCGGCTAACATAACTTACAAATCCCTCTAGCAACAGCTGCTTTCATAGCCGTTAAACGTACTGTACAGTATATTAGCTTGCCACCATCTATGATACATGTGGCTTTGGAATAACATCAAGATCTTATTCAGTCTTGTAAAAATTCCTATTTTTAAATTGTAACCGTATTTATTGACCGCATCAAAATGACTGCTTTACACTGAACTAATAAGTATACATTTTCTATTTCATTGCCAAAAGATAGTCATTGTAGCGTATACTTTTTTAAGGTTAAGCAATGACTATTTTAAACTATTTTTGCTCATACAGTATATCTCTATGCAAACCAGATTCGTATTTGTAATACCAGTCATCTAGAGAATTTTCATTTTACTTATAAGTCTGGGTTTGATTGCGATGATGCTTTACTAAAGGAACATTATATCATCTATTATAGCGGTATCATTCAATCCAATTGCACTTCAGTAATTGGTAGGTATTGATTCAATTTTAAAACTGTATACAGTTTAATAGGCAATGTTATCCATTATATATTGCTTACAATCCTCGCTAAATGTTTTACATCGAAACAAATTTTTAGGAAACGGGGTTGTAATTCATCTTCCTGGCCTGTTTGCCGAAATTGAAGCTATTGAGAAAAATGGTAGGTAGATGCTCTTATTTATGCGATAGTACTACCATAGTAGCAAAAGTTCCCCTCTGTGCTCAACATATACGAAATTACATATAATTTGATCGCAAATATCATTGTTGATAATTTCGTTCGCCAAATATATAGGTGTTCAAGATTGTTGGTCGAAATTAAAAATATCCGATAGAGCCCATCTTGGTAATAGACACACTGTAGAACTCCATTGAACAATTACATATCGAATTTAATTCAGTTTTATGAATTTTACAGTATTTGATTTCCATCAAGAAGCTGATGGACTTCTTGAACTTGAGAAAGGCGACTCAAAGTAAATTAAAATTTTTACTTCCTAAGGGTAAATTTATCGGACTTCATGTATGATATTATTTTTGCCTAGAATTGGCACTACTAAGAAAGGAATTGGACCGGCTTATTCAACAAAGGTACAAAATTAAAATATTGCTTGTAATCGACTAAGCATTTCAACCGTAACAAATTGCAAAATACCAATATGCTCGGTGATTACAGGCTAGTCGAGTTGGCTTGCGAGTTTGCGATTTGATGGGCGATTTTGAGGACTTTACAAAAAAGTTCGGCTAACATTTCTGATATGTATAATTTGTAATAATTCTCGGTAAATGCAGATTATAACATAAAGCTTTATTGTTTAACTTTATAGATTCAAAAATCTAGTTAAGGGTTATCGAAAACGGTAAATTTGCATGCACATGATCTTACTGCTGTACTTGCAAATCTTTTATAATAACTTTATTGTAAACTATCATTGTTTATTTATATCTAGTTTTTCTGAGCTTGAAGTGGATGTAGAAAAAGAACTAGAAAGATACAAAGTATGTACTGATTATCACCTTTATTGAACCACTTTACGAAATGCTTTACGAACTTATGGTAATTATGATTCTTTCTTTCTATTGCTTGTCAACAGCGTTATGCCGATATTATTCGGCCAAGTATAGAAGATACCGTCTTCTTTCTATCAGAGGAACTGAAAAAAGGGAATAAAAATATTATCGTAGAAGGAGCAAATGCTGTTATGCTTGATCTTGACTTTGGTACGGAAATAACTAAAAACAAGTAAAATGTAATTGTTGTACGTAGGAAATACTCTAATAATGAAAATACTTGTGTCTATGTTACAGGTACTTACCCGTACGTAACATCTTCCAGCTGTGGTATTGGAGGCGTTTGCACTGGCCTTGGCCTGCCACCCAGTACGATCAGAAATGTGGTGGGTATTTGTAAGGCTTACATAACCCGCGTTGGCGCTGGCGATTTCCCGACATTTCTCGATTCAGTAAGTATTAAAAGTATATTAATTTGCTGCACGTTAGGTTTACGTCAGAGATGAAACAGCTAGGCGTGGTTTTATGTTATAATTAATCATCACTGGTATCTGCTCGTAGGATATAGGAACGAAATTGCAAGACATCGGACAGGAATTTGGTACTACAACGGGAAGACGCCGACGATGTGGTTGGCTAGATATTGTGGTACTTGATTACGTTAACAGAATTAGTGGATTAACAAGGTTTGAAATTTTTTAATGGGTAAGAAGTTGGTATTCTAGATAATTAAAATCACACATCATTTTTAGTATTGCAGTAACTAAATTAGATGTTATGGACACTTTCGAGGAAGTGAAAATTGGTACTGCTTATATTCACAATGGTCAAAAATTAAAATCTTTCCCAGGTCAGTATTTCATTTGAGATGGATCCTGTTACATACAATTAGTCTAAATACTGTACTAACTGCTGAAGATTGGCATACTGTATACCAGATATAGTATCAGTATATTGTAGGACATGTCTCTAATTAGACAGACTGATATTGTGTAGATAATAATAGTAAAGATACATCAAAGAGCACTGTTCGAGCTGAGATTATTACACTATTTTTTAATAATTGATATTAATTTCGAAATGAAAATAGCCGATCATTCGATTTTGAGCGAAGTCGAAGTCGAGTATATCACAATGCCAGGCTGGAAACAAAACATTTCCCTATGTCGCAAGTTCAGCGATTTGCCAGAAAATGCTCAGGCTTACATATTGAAGATTGAAGAACTGTCGGGAATACCTGGTAAGTATTAAAATAACATCGTATGCTCGTACAGTTCATGAAAGGATTATGTCATTTTTGCTTCCATGACTTTAAAGCAATTTTTGTTTATTGTAATAGTACAATTTGTAGGAGTGGGAAAATCTCGCGATGCTACAATCAGGCGATTCTAATTCGCTAATGCATAGTATCGAATCGTATCTGCAAGCAGTCTTTCTATTGCAATCACTAAGACGGATACTATGCAGCTTTTAGCGCTCATTCATGGCGCATAATATTGACTTAGTCGTAGTGTACCTTTTGCTCACTTAGAATACATGAACTGCATGATACATAAACTCACTCTTAGCTTATTACTAGTTGTTGTTTTTGGTAATTTCAACTACATAACAAAGTTTGTCTAGGTTTACAGCCTTTTTGAACAATATACTAGATATAAACTACCTGACCTTGTTATAGGTTAAGGATGGAAATATTTTTCTTTAATTTCTTTCATTCTAATGAATTTGTTATATTATTTGGATAAAATCTAAGTGTACTAGTGATATTTAATCTATCGTAGGCTAAAGTCAGTTTAGCAATGTGATCTCAGAATGTATCTTATATGGTTCTATGTAGTAATAGTCATAGATCCGAAAGACTATAGCTCTTTCGTTCGTTGTTCATTTTGACTCCATGACACTTATGTTATTCTAACTGTAGTGTATTGAACTGTTTATGCTTGGAATGTTCCGTTGTTTGATGGCATCCTATATGTCGTACGGTATTGATTCTTAATTACTGTATTGAATTGCTATCGATATCAAGATTGCATGTTACAGAGGGGATTAGATACGATCTATATCTGTAGCATTTATACCGTCGATATTATTTATATTAGCAATGGTTACATTGTCATTGGTAATACCTAAATAATAAAAGAAACTTTTGTCTCTGCAAGATAAAGCATTTGAAAACTAACAAAATAATTGGCTAGCCTTTGGAAGCTATGGCTAATTCGTACATGAAGGCAAAGTTATCATTAACAGTTCAGAATATGCTCGACTTCCAGCAGATTGTAATAGACAATCTTGACTGGTCTATCCGCAAGTAAACATTTCACACCATTACGAGTCGGACGATACAGTAATTTATTTCGATAACACAAAAGGATAGGATTTTTATGAGTATGACATTTAATATAAATCTGCCTTAATTGATAAGGCAATAGAGTGATTTAGTTTATTAGCCTACGAGTAGTTAACAATAGATCTATTTGAGGACACGTTATTCAGAATAACACTACTGAATTAAGATAGTAAATTGGTATTCTATTTCACTAACTGTATCTTCAACTACGTAATGAGAAAATCTTATGGAGGCAATATAGCCTGCAGATTCTCCAAGTAATTGATTTTTGGTGTCTTGTTCCACAAAGTTACAATTCATTATTGAAGCGATTCCATAGCATGTCTAGCTGTAATTGTTGAGGATCAATTTCTGACAACCTTATTAAAATTTGAACGAATATATGTGTAACGTAAATACTGCTGACTCGATTATTCTATCGAAGAAACAGCGCTAACTAGATGTAACAATTGCTGATGGTTTCCTCCTGTTTTAACTTTCGGACTTACGGTATACAAGTCTTAAACTTCATACCCATACTTGCTTTTATGATAGGCCGGTTTTACGTTATCCTGTATTAAGGGAGCCTAGAGAACAAGAAACATTATTGTGCCTTGAAGGGGCTGAATTGGTCATAACAGCTAATATACTTTAACAACAAACTTACCGGCATTGTCAAAACATTGTATACGACAAGGTTTCGCGGTGCTCTGCAATACATCACAGCGCCATGAATGCAAGCATAGAAGAAAAAGATGTAAACCAACGTAGCTGAAATGGTGCCAGCATAGGCAACATTGATTAGCACTGAAGGGAGACGATGTGCATTAGTTTCCTGGTGTTCCAGAATCTGAACGACGTAAAAAGTCATTCCCACCAAATTCATGACTAAAATGGCCAAACCAGCAAGAACTGCAATAGCAGTTATGATGGCAAAGACTAAATGAGCTGTTGCCTACGATTAATATAGAAAACGAAATCGGCTCGTAAATTATATAAGTGTATAGAAATAATCCCATCGATAGCGATCAGTTTTTTTGAGTCTTGGCATGTTATTAATTACTTCCTTCCGAAATGGAATTATGGTCATGACTTTTGATATAAATTTTGTGATTAAATGCTTTTAGTAATTGATTTTGATTTATCAACTGCCACTAAATGATTATATTCATACATTATACTTGTGTAGCTCCACAAAATAAATGTTTTAGCTAGCTGCATTAATTTATACGAGCTCATTTTATCAAAGCATCTGTTCAAGCGTAACGACGAGCTTAAAGTATTTTTGACACTGTTGACATATCCACTTTATTGGATATTATTGTAAACTTAACGAGGTAAGCATTAGTTAAAACCGATCAGTTTAGAATATTTACATACCGGGCAATGTTTGTAAACACCTTTTTCATATCCACACATGCCCAAAACGCTGGTAATAAACATCTTTATTATATTCGTGCCATCAGTAATCAAAAATTGTGTTAGTATATGTACTATAATAAATTTGTCGTAATTCTTTAGTAGACAAATAATAGCAGAATACTGGTATGTAAAATTTGAAACTACTTTGCGCACAAGATATAGCCCTAACTAGAAGGGAATAAACTACGCTATACATAGCTAGTGCGATTACGGATATGCCTCACAGGTATAAGTTGTCAAGCACGGCTTGTCATAACTAAGGATAAAGTAGTGCCATCTTCTACTACGAATGAGAGGACTTGAAAGTAAGCTACACTACGTCCAGATTGTGTCTTCATCTTTTATAGAACACTATCAATTTTTTTAACAACTTATCGTATCTAAAGATAGAAAAGGTCGAATATCTGCCATTTTAATTAACTACGAATTAAAACTGGAAAAATGAAAATTCATTGCCCATAAATAGTGCTTAAAAGTTGAGTTCCTGTATATTAAAAGTACTCTTTTAATCTGTACCAAGTTTTCAAACTACTCCGTAAACTAATAATAAGTTACAATTAAGCTACTTACCGGTACTGAAACCCAAAAGCCATGGAAAAATAGTAGTGTTCCAACAGTGAAGACGGTAACGGGCTTAAAAAACAAGCCTGCTAAAGTCAAAGTAAAAATAACAACGGAAAATACCAGGGTGGCACAGGATAAGTCGAAAACGACTTTGAGTGAGCGAGTCATAGCCGCATTAGCGGAAGTTGCAGCTTCGATACTCTTTGATTTCAACGTCATGTCGTTTTATTTTGTAGCCTAGCTGACATTGGAAAGGTCATAAAAGAATGTTAGACATTGTTGGTTTGTAGCTATGATATAGAACGGCCTAAGCCGTAAAGATAGAGTGTAAAAAGGCCTTTGAAAGAACTACTTTGGTAATATAAGGCTGATGAATATTTCCTCATAGCCAATCGAACTTCTTGTACAATAATAAAATGAGTTTTTCAATGTTTACGCAGCAGTCAATTTGTCAAGTATCACCGTCAAGTTACGTTATATAGAACGGCCTAGACCGTCAAGAAAGAGTGGAAAAGGCCTTTGAAAGGATTATGTTGTCAACGTCATGGTGATTAACATTGCCTACAGTAGATCGAAGTGATTACATCATTACCAAATGAGTCGTACAATCTTTACATGTCCATTCGACAGCTATTACTGTCTAGCTACGAATGGCCTCGACCGTTTAGATAGTGTGTTGATGAGGCATTTGGAAGGAGGATTTTACGCCGTCCATTTCACTGATTGCCAATTAATTTACAATGTGTCCATCTTGGGCAGTAAACTGTTCCTCTCAGACATTGACTGCCCATCATGGCTGTTTCTTGACTCTGCATACAGTCCTTCCTATCGATTATTCTATCATCGCAAGTTATCGAAAGCAAATTCGTGCTTTCGAAATGCAAGAATGGCCATTGGCTAATGCACTACACGATGGAGAAGATCGTCATTGGCCAATATACTGTAGAACGGTTTGGACTAGTTACTGTAGCGGCTGGACTTTTTGGATCGTTTCAAGGTGATTGTATCCATCACATTAGCACAACATTGGCCATGGTGATTAGCACTTGGTAGTTTCTGTTGCTAATAATAGCATTAAGACACCTTTTCCCTTGGTTAATACATAGAAGAAACGCCTAAAAAATGTATGATTGTCAATTCTTCAAGTGCATCAACGTCCAGTTTATCCATTATCCAAACTAGCGCAATACTCCATGTACCCACGAAAGACAACAAGTGGATCGAACAAACTGACAAGATCTACTACTGGTTTGACGAATTACGATCCTAATCAATGGTGCCTTAATCGCACCATGTTGTCCATTCTAGCTAACAACCGGCAAAAGAGAGTAGATGAAGAAGAATTGAATTTCCACAGTTTAATTTGCTTACCTGATCGAAAGAAACCTTGCAGTTGTTTTTGTTGATGTTGTCCTTGATTTGAGAGTTTTGTTGACAGTAGACTGGAGACCTCGACAGTCTACTAGTATCTCGCTGGTGCCTGGTACAGATCCTAGCAAAGGTCAAGCGTTACTGGTGGCCACACAGGCGACCTCATCACCACCTGGTCGATTCGATACGCTCAGCATGCAGTGTATAGCATTGAAGAATGTGCATATTGTATGTCCGCATAGGACAGTCCTCTCCTGTACTGGACTGTACTGTAATGAACCGCAGTAACTTCATTAACCAATGGGTGACCCGCTGTGTCACTGAGTGTAAACTACAGTACTGTGTACTGTAGACCATCCAAGAATACTGTACTGTACTGTACTGTACTGTACGTGGCGCATATTTCAGTCCGTTAAAAAGAAATGGCCGAATTTAGAACATCTGTTGGACGTTGTGTCCATTCGTCTTGCGCGAGTACTAAAAGTAAATTGACCAAATTTTGAAATAGTATCGGTGTATCATAGTGAACATCTCCGTTGAGAGGGGGTAAGCAATGATTCAAACAACTTTTGCTATTCTCGCATGGTCTAGCGTGCAGTGTACACGTCGTTCGTCCATGCCATACAGTCTAACTTCAACACTGCGAGAGTCGCGGATACTGCTATACTGTACAGTATACTGTATTCAGACTAGTACTGTCAGTGGACAATGAGTACTGAAGGGTCAATTTTGTAACATGGCCGACAGACGGCACTCATCATTTCCTACAAGTGCAAGTATGGACACTTTGAGAGACTGCAGTCATCATTTGGTAAAAGGTCCGCGGCACTCATCATCTCCTATAAGTACGAGTATGGACATTTTTAGGGACTGCAGTCATCATTTGGTAAAAGTATGAACATGATCGGACAGTCGAAGAGTCTTGGCTACGGTCGCCCAGAAGGTATACTGTACAGTACGTACTGTACACTGTAGTCAGAGTCAACCAGACTACAGTACAGTACTATCAGAGGACAATAAGTACTGTAGAACTAATGAACCGCACTGACTTCATTAGCCATGGTGACCCGCTGTGTAACGGAGTGTCCAGTCTACGGTACAGAAGTGGAGGATTCACGGACTCTGCTACAGTATATTGTACTGTAGTCAGACTAGTCCTGTCAGTAAACAAAGAGTTCTGTACTGAGTACCAACAATAAGATTGTATGGAGCACTGCCGAGTCCTGATGGGCAAATTTTGTCAAATGGCCGGCGGACTATACTCATCATGGCGTAAAAGCATGGACACTATGAGGAAATGCACTCATCCTTTGGTACAAGTATAGACACTATTGGACAGTCGAAGAGTCTTTACTCAGACTTAATCGGACTAGTACGATCAGTGGACAATGACTCCTTGTAATAATGAGTACTGAAGGGCAAATTTGTAAAATGGCCGGCGGACACTGCACTCCTCATTTCGTACTAGTGTCGACAGTCTCAGAGTCTTCACTTTCGTTGTCCCTAAGTCTAGTCAGTAGAAAGATACTCAAAATGGATGGAGACGTACTATGATGATCGATAGAGATGATGATTGTGGATTGTCAAAGCAAAAATGAGGACAATATTGAAATTTCGAAAGGGAGGGAGAGACGACAAGACAAGCTCATGTTGGGGTGAACCACTTCTCCATACTGTATGTAGTCTTCAACAGCATTGTTTGGGGGACTAACGTAGAGTACTGCCCAGTTCTGACTGTTACAGTCTTTTCTAGGCAACCTACAGTACATACACTGGACTGTCGTGTTGGCACTCTAATAATAAAAGCAAACCATGTAAACAATGAAGCACAACTTCATTGATAAAAGCGATGACATGAAGAGAAAATTAAAATTCATGCGATTGCTGATCATCGACGTACAACAACATTAGATACCACAAGATAATCAAGTTGGCAAGCTAGAAACGAATTGATGTAGCTCTCTCATCGATTGCTAGGTAAGTTATTCAAATGAATGAACGATAGGAAATCAAGTGAGTTGGTCGTTGTCGACCACTTGGATTGATGGTGTGTTATGATAGCGATGCAGTCAATGAGGTCGAAAATAAGGGACAAGTCCAAATTGCTCTCATCAAA